AATTCTTTGATCGGGCTTAAGCCCACATCAACTTACAGTCTCTGGCTTTTGAGGGTTAGCTTCTTTGGGTAATTCTCTTAATTTTGTATATCAGCTTTTAGGAAGTCTTCTTTAAAGTTACCTTTAAGTCTTTTGGTTCCTTAATACCTGTCTAGGCACAGGAGGAGGTGGGTTGGGTGACCCTCTAAAGGGCACTTATTCGTATTAAACAGTTACAAAGTACTTAAACTTTGACAAGAGTACTTTAACTCAGAAGCGGTTATTACCACCTTACCGTATATCAGCATCTAGCAATACCATTTATGTACAAGAGGAGGTGGGTGACCCTGTTGGGTCTGGTTTGGCGTCTGGGGATGGTCCTGGTCCTTTTACTCTGTGGATATGGATCCAGCCTTTTTCTTGGGTTCACATCGCAGTGTGTGTGGTGAGTAACACCTGGAAAGGTCCTTCAAATTTGGGGGTTAGTGGAGTGGTGGTGTTCCAGGATTTTATTAACGCCCAGTCCCCGGGACTGATGTTGTGGGCATTGGTATCCAGAGGGGAGGTCTGGGGGAGATACCCCTTCTTTCTGAGGCCTTCTAGGGATTTTCTTATGATTTTAAATATTTTTAAGTTACTGCCTCCCCTTTTTAATAATCTGCAGTACTGAAAGGGGTGGTTAGAAAAGGGAGTCTGAACATCATTTTATAAGGAGAAACCCCCATGTCATACCAAGGTCTGTTCTGATATGCAAGAGAGCAAGAGGTAAACACTTGAGCTAATTCATTTTTGTCTCTTTAATTAATTTGGTTATTACTTTTTTTAAGAGTTCTATTCATTCTTTCTACCTTTCCCGAGCTTTGAGGATGCCATGGGGTGTGCAATTTCTACTTTATCTCCAGGGCTTTTGTTACTTGATGCAAAGTTTGAGCAACAAAATGTTGACCTCGGTCCGAGTCAAAGTTATTGACTAGCTCGTATCGAGGTATGATTTTTTCTAAGATTATTGTTGCAACTTCTTGCACAGTTTCCTTTTTGGCTGAGAAAGCCTCCACCCACTGAGTGAAATGATCTACGATCACTGGTAAATGCTTGTACCTCTGCACAGAGGGCATTTCAGTGAAATCTACTTGTATGTTCTGGAAAGGTCTTAAAGCAAGCTTTCTCCCCCCATGTGCTTGTTTTCTCATTACCTTTTGGTCAGTTTTCAGGCAAATCGCACACCTTCTTGTGACTGCTTTTGCCAGGTCATACGCTCCAATATATAAATTCTCCCGTAAAAAAAGTGGTTGCACAAACTTTGGATTCCCCAGTGGGTCAATTCATGACTTGAACTACCTTTTATCTCGTGGGATGCTCCTTATCCTTCATAGGACTTGCAAGTCTCTTCTTAAGAGATTACTTTGGCCTTCCCTTTCATTCCTAAAACCTCACAGACTTTCTTCCCAATGTTGACTCTTACTGGTAACTTGTCCTGGACTTATCTACCCTTGTGTTAACTAAGAACTCAAAATCTTCTTAGTGGGGACTTACTTTAAAGTTTACCAAGGGCTCTTGTTGATGGTTGATTGTATCTCTTTGCTTATTGAACTCCCAACACCCCTAGTCATCTCCCCTTGAAATCTCTTCTAAGACTTTTTGTTCTTTATGCATTGCTTCATTAAACTGAAACATAAGACACATCTCATGACAGTAATAGCACCTCCTATTGCTTTGTGAAGCTTCAGGTTTCTTAAAGTCATTAAAGTTCTTATTTGTTTCATATGATGGTGCTGGTTGATCTCTATTTCTTTGGTAACAGCCCTGGTCTATTCCAACTTGACTTAGACGGCAGTGCTGGTGGTGACCTGCCTGCTTTTATACTTCCTCAAGCAACTGCAACCATAAGTCTAGCTCCAGTTTTGGCTTTTTCTTCTTCTTTCTTTAAATATAATCTTAGGGCTTCTAGGTGTTGGTTTAGCTGATTATATATCTACGGATCTTGGGTTCTATACTATGGCCACTCTCCCTGTAATTTTAACTTTGGCCATACTTCAGTACTCTTGTCTAGACCCTTTGTGGTTTCCCAAGAATCCCATTGGTCTAAAAATTGCCCTAAGGGCCTGTTAGGAAGAATTCTCTTTGCTTTCTCTTTTGAAGGATCCACTCCTTTGCTATAACTTATTCCCATTTCCAGGCCTCAAAAGGAAAGAAAAAAAATCTACCTTAAATGGTGCTCCCCTCTAAAATGGAATATACAGATATGCAACTACAGTTTATCTGGCTCCTTCCCACAACTTAGTATTTTAAATCTCTTGACTGAACTTAATCTCTTCTAGTTAACCTCCCACTCTTGGCATTTATCTCTTGTCACTTGCCTAGGATAACCACTAATCATACTCCCATATATTGTCTTTTGTTTTCCTATTCTTTCTGGACTTCTTGATGGACTTTCTAGGCTTGGACCCTAGGTAGGTCTCGCCCCAGTTCTTTATTTGGCCTTTTGCCCAACCTCCTTACTAGGCTTAGGAAGCTTGGTCTCCCTGCCGAGGTAAGGCTGAACGTCCTGCCGAGCCTTACACTCGAACTCCGGCCAAGTCCCCTCGCCTGACTCTCCTACTAGGCTTAGCCTGCTTGCCTTTCTACTCGCTTCCTTACTTGCTTACTTACTCTGTCTTCCCCGACATGCCTCCTGTCTGCCAGAACATGTACCCTGCCTGCCAGGACCTACTCCCTGCCTGCCAGGACATTACCCCTGTCTGCCAGGACACGCCCCCTTCTTGCCAGAACCTGTCCTTTGCCCGTTATCAATTGCCCTACCTGCCAGGACCTGCCCCCTGTCTGCCAGGGCCTGGCCCTACCTGCCAGGACATGATCCTGCTGTCAGGACCTGCCCCCTGCCTGCCAGGACCTGGCCCTGCCTGCCAGAACATGTACCCTGCCTTCCAGGACCTGCCCCTGCCTGCCAGGACATTCCCCCCTCTTGCTAGGACCTATGCCCTATCTGCCAGGACTTGCCCCCTGTCTGCCAGGACACGCCCCCTTATTGCCAGGACCTGTCCTTTGCCTGTTATTAATTGCCCTACCTGCCAGAACCTGCTCCCTGCCTGCCAGGACCTGGCCCTGCCTGCCAGAACATGTACCCTGCCTTCCAGGACCTGCCCCCTGCCTGCCAGGACATTCCCCCCTCTTGTTAGGACATGCCCTACCTGCCAGGACCTGCCTCCTGCCTGTTAGAACATGCCCCCTGTCTCCCAGGACATGCCCCCTGCCTGCCAGGACATTCCCCCCTCTTGTTAGGACATGCCCTACCTGCCAGGACCTGCCTCCTGCCTGTTAGAACATGCCCCCTGTCTCCCAGGACATGCCCCCTGCCTGCCAGGACATGCCCCCTGCCTGCCAGGACATGCCCTCCCTTGCCAGGACCTATGTCCTCTTCTTCCCAGGACATGCCCCTGCCTGCTAGGACATGCCCCTTGCCTGTTGGGGCATGCCCTCTGCCTACAAGGACATGCCCCCTGCCTGCCAGGACATAACCATGCCTGCCAGGACACGCACCCTTCTTGTCAGGACCTATGCCCTATCTGCCAGGACATGCCCCCTGTCTGCCAGGAAATGCCCTGTACCTGCCAGGACCTGGCCCTGCCTGCCAGGACACGCCCTCTTCTTGCCAGGACCTATGCCCTATCTGCCAGGAAATGCCCCTGTATGCCAGGACATGCCCCCTTCCTGCCAGGGACATCCCACCTGCCCTGCTGTGGACAACTCCCTCGCCCTGATTGCCAGGGACTTACTTTATCCCTAGAGAGCCTCCACATGCCCAGGGGAGGGCCTTTACCTCTAAGGAGAGGCCTCAGTCTCTCTGTTCCACTCGCTTCCCCCCATTCCCGGCCGGCCCCTTCGCAGGAGTCCGGAAACGGGGTACTAGGGGTCCCTTTAACTTCGGGGGTCCGAGCTGCTGGCCCCCGTCTCACTCATTCACTCACTCGCTCGCCTCCCAGTTTTTCTCACCAATCCGTCGTCCCTCCGCGTGGCTCCTCACGATTGATCCTAGGGTCCGGTAGCCAGCAAATCCCGAGGGTCCCTCGAAGCAGATGGTCGAGCTGTCCAGCTGTCCAGGGTTCCTCTTCGGGCATGGCTATCCCAGGACCGAGCCCCCAGTTTGAAATGAACAAGGTCTATGCCTTTATTAATAGTCAGCTCTTTATTAAAAAGTCAACTCGGCAGGGGGCTCAACGAGGAGCTCACCCCCGCTGTTGTAGCTTCTCCCGTAGCCGAAGGGTGAGCAGGCGTGCAGAGTCTGTCCCTGGAGTCTCCATGGCACGCTGGTAGCTGGAGGTGAAGAGGTGTGCAGTCCATATCTCAAGTCCCAGCAGACCGTCCTCTCTCCTTCCCTCCTGGCACACTGGTAGCCGCAGGGTGAGGGGATGTGCAGAGCCTGCTGCCGAAGTCCAGCAGCAGCTGTCCCTCTCCTTCCCTCCTGGCAGCACCAGGAAGTGTGTGTGTGCTTTGCTCCTGCTTCCCACAGCCCAGTCCAGTCTGGTCCTCTGTAGCTTATGGTGACAGGTCAAACACAGACTAGGGATGGGGTTCCCTTTTCCCCAACGAGCACATCCATCCAGCCCCCTCCACTGTGCCCCCCTTTTCCATTTAGGGGTGTTTTTCATCCCCAAAACCCCCTCCCATGATTCCACTGGATTATTTTGCATCCCAGTCCTAAAATGGTAGTGAGGGTGGGGGGAGGTAGGTGATTCCCAGGAACAATTAGCTAATTAACATTTCAATGTCAGTACTTAGCCCAAGCCAAGTGTGCCAGCCAGGCTGTTTTGTTCATAACACACAGGTTCTGGAATCCCACCTCTGCTCCCACCATGGAGGTTTGTTTGTGTCAGGCTGGCTGCCCCAGCCCCAGCCCCAGCCTCAGCCCAGGCCATGCTGGGTGCTGGGGGCTGTTGGCAGGGCCAGGAGCCCACTCCCATTTTGTATCCACCCCAACCCGTGCCCCCAGCCCTGCCAAAAAGCAGCTGGGCAGCCAACTGAAGTTGCATCTGCCCCAGCACAGGGGGAACCTTTTGTTCCCAGCCAGTCTGAGCAATGCCCAAATCTGGGAGCATTTCCCCGGCTGTGGACTCATCTGCAAATTCGCTGTGGAGCCTGGCTTTGAAGACAGTGCCAGAAGTCCATCATCTTCAGCTGCCAGTGGCCAACTTGAGGAAGAGTTTGTCATCCTTGATGTCATCCTCACTGTCTCCAGCAGCAGCAGCCCCACCTGGTACAGCTTCTCCAGGGGCTCCTTCTCCTTCCCTGGGGGTCAGACCAGGCTGTCAGGGTTCTGCCCAGGGCCCCAGCTGTCAGGGAACCAGGACACGCAAAACCAGCTCGGATGGCAGCCACCAGTGCTGGGCAGAGCAGCTCAGCTCCAGCACAAGGGCTGTGTGTTCCCACCCAAAGACCCCAGTGCATTGATACAGGCAGGGAAAAAAGTCTGGGTTTCCTTGCTTCTGATTGCCAGGGCATGTGTGGAGCTGTAACTCACCAGGGCCCTGCAGCAAAGTGTGCATGTGGCTCTCTCCCTTCTTCTACGGCAGGTGAATATCCTGTATCCAAGGTTCACAGAACAGGTCTTCTAAGGAAGGTCTGTCCAAGAAGTGCATGGATAAACACCCCCTGATAAGATCTTGGCACTCTGGGCAGAGAAACCAGAAACCAGCGGTCAGCTAGAGAAGGCTCCTGTCTGCTTTGCCCCACTCTTCCCATGCCCAGGCCATGCTGCTTTTGTGCTCCTGGCTGGGCCTAAACTTTCTCATCAATTCTCTGTTGTGGAGGAGAGCAGGAGAGCAGGACATGTGCCACCTCCTCAGCGGCTGCCAGAGCGAGATGCTCACGAGCTGCTGCTGTCTCCCAGCACTGGTATTCCCCCATGGCCAGAGATGAGGATCCACCTGGAGAGAGCCGCTGTGGCAGCGAGAGCTGATGGTCCCAGCTGATCTTCCGGCCCCTCCTGAAAGGGTGCTGCCCGCAGACCATCTGGTGCAGCAGGATGCCCAGGGACCAGATCGTTGCTGCCTCTCCATAGTACCAGCCCAAGTGGGTCCATTCCGGGGGGCTGTATGAAAGTGTTCCTGTGGAATACAGATGGAGTTCATCGGGGGAATGCTGCTGCTGCTACCAGAGCCTGGCCCCAGCATCCCTGGGCGTGCAGGGGCTGCCCCAGTGGCACACGGGGCGACTGCTGCACTCTCGCCAGCACCTGGGACTTGTGTACAAACTCAGGGCTGGACAAGAAGCCACTGGTGATGGAAGAGGGCAGCAGAAGCCCCAGCAAGGCCTGACCATGACATGTAAAGCAAAACCCCACTCAGGGCTGGGGGAAAAAAACATGTCCTTATCCTCCCTGCCTGCAGTGCCCCAAAAATATTATGAAGCCAAGACAAACAAGGTGATTGGAGCAGCCCAAGCCCTTCCTCTTGCCTGCACACCAAACTGGCTGGTGCACTGGTCCTGGCCCGATGTAGTAGATAGGGACAGGCGAACGGAAGATCCCGGGATGTGACGGCAAGAAAGACCCTTCCCCCTTCACCCTGCAACACATTATCTACCACCCCCAGAACATGTAACCACACCTAACCCAGTAGTTTTCAACTCCTGACTAACCCTAGAGGCCCTACCAACCCCCCCTGACGTAGCAAAGTCCCCCAAGACTATTTAAACCCATGAGATAAGAAAATAAACACTTTTTTCAACCGTCCACCGCCCCCTCCTCTGCTACCCCCACCCACGGATGTTTTTGTCAGGCCGGCTGCTGCTGCTCCAACCCCAGCCCCAGGCAGAGTGGTGGGCAAAGGCTGCCAGCAGGGCTGGAAGATGCCTCTCTACCCAGCCCCGCTCAAAGCAACTCAGGGGAAGGCTCAGTACCCTGACTGGCAGCAAAAGGGAGAATCCTCGCTGCCACACCCAGCTTGGCCTGTGAGATGTTGGGCCATGAGATGGCGGGACCGGGAGCACACCCCTGCCCGGGCTCACCTGCAAAGTGAGTGTAGGCTGTGTCTTGCAGGTAGGTGCCACAGCCAAAGTCAATCAATTTTGCCTGGCCAGTGGCCAGGTCAACCAGGATGTTCTCTGGTTTGATGTCACGGTGCAGGACCCTGCGGCTGGTGCAGTGCCGCACGGCCTCCAGCACCTGGCGGAACAGCTGCCGTGCCACCTCTTCAGACAGGAACCTCCGTGCCCGAATGAAATGCAGGAGGTCCTGAGACTGCTGTGGCCGCCCCAGCACCATCACGATGTTGTTGGGGAGCTCAAGCCACTCCAGCAGCTGGACCACAACAGGGAAGCCAGTGGACACCATGTCCTTCCTCCTCCTCCTTCTCTTCCTCCTCCTCCTCCCTCCTCCCCCTACTTTTCCTCCTCCATCCTCCTCCTCCTCCTCCTCTCCCTCCTTTCTCCTCCTCCTTCTCTTCCATCTCCTCCTCCGCCCTCCTCCTCCTCCTGCACCCGCCGCCGGCCCCGCCGCTCACCGGGGCACCGTCCGAGAGCCGCGTGGCTGCGAAGACGCTGCCGAAGCCGCCGCGCCCCAGCAGCGAACCCACTCGGTACCGCTGCTGCAGCGCCTCCTGCGCCTTCCCTGCGGGCGGGACGCGGCTGTCAGCGCTCGGCCCGGGGCCAGGAGCGGCCCCCGAGCGCCCCTCAACCGCCTCGGGCCGGCCATCCCCAGGCCTTCGGTCTCGGGAACGGGACTCGGGAGGCTCGGGGCTGGCGGCTGCGCTGCCGAGCGGCGGAGCTCGGGCCGGAGAAGCCGCGGCGGAGGCGGCGGGAGCGGCCGTGCCGCGTGTGTCCTCCGCGGGGCCCGGGAGGAGCCGGGGCCGGGGCCAGGGCCAGGCCCTGCGGCGGGGCCGGGGCCGGGCTCGGGCCAGGCGGAGCCAAGGGGCGGCGATGCTGCCCCAGCCCCAGGCACTGATGCCCGCCCAGCAGCGCCACTGACAGCACAGCCAGAGCCGGGCGGAGGCGAGACCGCGGCGGGGCGGGCGGGGTTGGGGACGGGGCAGCCCCACCCAGGGCCGGGGGCGGGCCGGGGACATGGCCCGGCCGGGCAGGGGGGAGAAGGAGGCGGGGAGAGGGGAGGAACAGCGGGTAAGGGACACCGAGAGGAAGGTGTCTGACAGCAGGAGAGAAAGAAGAGAAAGAAAAAGAAGAGAAAAACTGCTTATGCTGCCGCTGCTGCCGCCGCTGCTGCCGCCGCCGCCGCTGCTGCCTCTGCAACTGAAGCACCGAGGCCGTTTGTCCGCGTGTCCGTTCCCCGCTCGCCCCACGGCCGAGCCCCGCACGCCCCGGGGACAGCCCCTTCGTCTGTCCAAACACGGGAACGTTGCAGTGTTGAGCCCAGATCCAGAGTCCTGACTCCTGCACACTGGCAGAGGAATCCCCTCTTCTGTGTCGCTGCTGTGCATTGTCCTTGCTGAGGTTCAAACACTATTGGGGCACATTCCCTGGGTGTAGGATTCGTACCTGCTCCTACAATTCTCTCCTCCAACGACTCCATGAAGGGTCTGTGTGGGTGGACCTCAGGGGACCCATTCATGCTTTGAGACACTTTGGGTTTTTCCTCGGACTTTGACTCCTGGTTCGGTTGGCGCAATCTCCTCTCAGGCCCTGAGCTTCCAGGGCTCAGCTCTAAATGCACCACGGGGCTCATTGGGATCAAGCAAGTCCTGACAAACCATGGCTCTGCCCTGATTTCCTTCTGCTCTAGTGCAGTCCATTAGGAAGGTTTCCTACAATACTGATGGAAAACTATTTGCAAGAGCTTCCAATAAATCCATGTTCCTCTTTGAAGAGTATATTTTATGACTGTTCTATTTAGAGCAGAGGTGACTGCAGCATTCAGCGACTGATATTGGCCCAGAGACTCTCCTGAGGATGTCTGGCCTAGTCAGAGAAGCTGTGCCTGGAGGTCTGAGGCAGTGTGGACAACCTTGCCCCACATAGCCCAAGCCCGTCCTGTCTCTGCTCAGTCACCTGGGACCTGCTGTGCTTGGAGAACTGGCTGTGCTCAGGCAAAGAGGGGTTTTCTTCTTTTATTTTTTGAAGAAACCTAAAACTCCTAAGCTTCCCCATTTAAAACAGACACACTCCACCCCTTAGTTGGAAAATGGAAAAGACTCTTTATTAAGCAAGAAAACCTAAAGAATATTAAACAATAAAACTTCTTGCTGCTCCAAAAGAGAGATAAACTCAGAAAGTCCCCTCCCCGGGCTGCAGTTCGGCTCACTCAGTCTCTTATCGGTCCCTCCGGCACTGGAAATGCTGCGGCCCAGGCCGGGCCTGGTGGGCCACAGGTGTGAGCTGCCAGTGCTCTTCTGGGTGCTCAGTCCAGAGCAGGTTTGAGCAGGTCTGAAGAAAAGAAAAAGCCACAGTCCAGGGAACTTCTTTGCCTCAGCTAGCTAAAACTAACTAAAAGCAAAGGACAGCTCTGAGGGTAAGTGAGCCGAAGCAGGGTATTTTCCTGGCGGGTGCGTTTAGTCTCCACAAGCTGGTGGCCAAGCTTGCGGAGACCACAGGGTACCCTCCTGATCCAAGGGGATCTTCACCATCACTCCCTTGGATCCTCACTCTTCCCCAAAAGGTTGGGGCATCCCCTGAGGGTAGTCTCCACTTATCAGGAGGTGCTTTTCTAGTCTCTCTCTTACCCAAAGCTGGGCTCTCCCCCAAAGGCTGGGGTATCCCATGAGGTCTGAGAGAGTAGAAAAGACAAGAATAGGGCAGAAATTTTCCATCAAACGATGGCACGTTTATAAGAATAGGGGAGAATCTAATATTATGCAAGAAGCCCCTGACACCCATGCACCTCGTTGAAATTTAGCTGCGTTGGGCTCCTCCCCTGTAAGTTCCCCTGTGGCTCCTGTGAAGCTCCCTGTACCCTCTGTCCCTCGGACTTCCCAAAACCCTACCCTATCCTCCCTTGGGGATGGTGTTGGCCACAGCACCCCAAGCACCCCGCTGGACACTGTTCAGACCTCTTGAGGGAACTGCAGTGCACTCGGCACTCCTTTCCAAGGTGGTGATGGCCACACCGCTTGGAACACCCTTTCCTGCCTGGACCCTTCTTCTCCAGCCCCAAGTTTCCCGCCAGCCCCACCCCTTCCGCAGAGGCCCCTGCACGAATCGCGTGTGGGGCCAGTGCCCTTTGTTGGAAGGTGGGGTTGGACCATCCCCCATTCCTTATTCCGGCTCCTGCTCTGGGGGGAGGATCGCCTATGGGGCCTCCCGTCAGGGGACCCTCCTTCTTGGGAGATCACCCTCTTTTATGGAGAGACCTCCTTCGGAGGAAGGTGGAGCTGGAAACCCAGACCTGGAATCCTCCATTTTGTCTCTCCCTAGGATGGCGGCGCCCAGGTTCGTCCCCTTATCGACACCCCATAACACTTGTGGCAGTCGCCAAAGTAATCATATTTCTTCTTATGAACTGAATCAATTATGAATTCAATTTGCATTTAATTTTTGGAAGAATCTCCCCAAAGCCCTTGACCCTTCAAAGCCTTTGTGGAAACTGTTCAAGATCATTAACCTACAAGCTTCCACAGTTGAGATAAATTAAAAAACAGAACCAAAAAGAACAATTTAAAATATGTTTTAAGTATAGGAAAAAGAGACATGAGGCAAGTGTTTGCCCATCAAAGTCAAAAATTTGTTTCACCTGTAAAAAGAAAGATCACAAAACAAAAAACTGTCCAAAGTAAAAAAAAAAAAAAATTACTATCATCATAATAAAAATAAAAATAAACAATGAATGAATATAAGGACAAAATTATTCAAGAGTGACTGCCCAAATTGCCCATCCATTTCCTTAATTATGCCCTACCAAATGTTCCTTTTAATTTCAATATTGTTTTAAAGTTTTCACAGTACGCTTTGGAAAAAGAGTTCATTAATTTACCTTTAGACCGTATTTACATTTCATGATCTTTGTTCATTTTTGTTTAGCCATTTTCCCACATTTCCAACTAAATTTCTTGACTAAAAAAATTGTTCATTATATTCTTGATACTTTAAAATAATCTGCTTCTTAAGTTATATATTATAGAGAGAGGAATCATTCTGTCCAGTTAATACCCACAGTAGCATAAAATAAAATGAGCAAGACCACATCTCCATTTGCTGATCACATCCTACAGGAGGAGTGACCTCCAAAATCACTTTCAAACCCCAGAAATCCAGAACCTGCAGATTCCTCGGTGATTTATGCTTCAAGCGCAGTCCTACTTCGAGATAATTCCACGGCAATTCCTCCTCCGGACACTGATTCCGTATATAATAACTTTGTACATTTTATATTAAGTTTCTTATGTGAAGAAGATCCTTACCCCATGCGTTATGGTCATGAATAGTTCATTTTTTCCTGATAATTTTTGAATTCTTTTCTGTTGCTGTAATTATTTGTCACATGCTAAAATCTGTTATATGATAGATTATGTATATGATATGCTATGTAATAGATTCATTAATTTGTTTTGAACCCCAGAACTCTCCTCCCTTTTGTAAAAAGACACAGGGAGATATTATGGTGTGTTTTGCTTTGAATCCATGTTTGCCCCCTGGTCTCCCCCCTAATCCACTCCCTTTCCCAGTTGCCAATTTTCCCAAGCTCTTCCCTAAGCTCCTCCCTTCCAAGCTGTCAATCCTCCCTATCCCTACCCCTTTCTCCGGAGAGTTCAGTGTCTGTCTTGCTGCCCTCGATACCCCACTCCTTACTTTGTATTATTCCCCTCCCCTGTTTTCCCTGATAGGCTCATAAGCTATTTGCCCCACCTTATATTCCTCCCTTACCATATCCTCACTGGTTCACTTTCCTACACCCGCCTCCTGAGTTGCTGTATAAAAACTTCTGTTCACCCCCGCCCCCCAGTCTTGCTGGGGAGCCCAGGAATAAATCCATCTTGTTCTACACCCAGACCCGTGTCATCGCTGTCTGTCCCTGCGCCAGACCTGCCGATAACTGGGAATTGCAGAGCTCGCAGGGGGACAGTCACGCCTGTGCCACAGCCGTCCAGCACGCCCCGCACACGCGCGCTGCAACACTCCTGGTTAGGTGGAGAAGTCCGAGCTGAGCCCAAAGGTGCAGATGGAACAGCCGTGCACAGGAAGGCTCGGTGGGAAGGATGATCCAGGACCCGTAGGCCTGGCAGCCTGAGCTCGCTCCAGGGGAAGGCCTCGGAGCAGATCCTCCTGAGTGCCATCCCATGGCACGTGCAGGGAACCCGGGCATCTGCTGGAGGGTGGGAAAGCCCTGCAGAGGGACGGGGGCAGCTGGGGCCCCTGACGGGGTGTTGAGGGCTTCTGTGCCGGAGTTTGGGGGTGTTGGTGTTGGTGGGGTGTTGGGGAAGGAGTTGTCTGGAAGGTGAGCGGTTTAGGTTGGAATTTGAGTCAGTTTGAAGGCAGCATCTCTGGTTTGGCACAGCTTTGGTTACGGAGGGCAGAAAGAATATTTGTGATTTTTCCTCTTCATGGTCCTGATTCTCCTGCAAAGAACAAGAGGGGAGAGCTGTACTTTACTGGACAATTCGATATCTCTACCAGGGGGAGGATTAGCCTTTTTTCCTTCTATTCATTTGTTTGGGCTACTTTTGTAACACTGAGTGGACTTTCATTTCTTGAGAGCTTTTATTCCTTAAGATAATTAGGGTATTATCATCCCTTCATAGAAAACCATTTGCAAACCAAAGAATGGCCCTTGGTTTTGCCCTTGTTTTGTGTAGTGTTATGTTCTGTAAAGTGACCCTCAATGGATGAGGTTAAGGCAAATGAGTTGCTGCTTTGAGATGGGAAGCAAAATTCCAAATCTTCTCCTCCTCAGGCTATCCCAATTAATTTCGGAAGTTTGCAATGCTTTGGAACTACTTGAGTTGAGCAATGGGAAGTAAAGCTTTCCTGAACTGAGGATTCTTACTTGCCAGATTCTTCTGTGCCTTTGCTGCTAAGGTGTTTTTGTGCTGAAGGCAATAACTTCAATGAGAAAATAATTTCAGCATGGAGTAAGAGCTTCTGACAGAGACCAAGTGTTGCCAGCAGTTGCTCCAGGTGCTCCTGCCAACAGCCCCTGCAGGCAGGAGCACAGCCCCCCAGTGCACGTGGGTTTGGCTCCCTCTGGCACAGAAGCCCCCCAGGGGCACAGGTCTCTGGGGCAGAAGACAGGGCACCAGCGCTGCCAGGGCTCGGGGGGTGGCAGGTCTGCTTGGGCAGGGACTCTGCCTCACCTGCTGGTGTCAGCGCTCCCCGGGCCCCAGGGGTCAGAGCAGCATTCGTGCCCTGACCCACACATTCCTTGTGCGTGCCACACCTGCGGGTTTAGGATGGCCACCAGCTGGGACATGTCTCAAGGAGGCAGTGCCAGCTTCTGTGGAAGGCCCTGTGCACTTCCCAGCTGCGGGGGCTCCTGCTGCCCTGAGCCCGCAGAGCAGGGCAGCGTTTGCTGATGGTTTGAGCCGTTCCTAAAGACTCTGTCAGCCTGTCTTGGACACTTGGGGTGAGGGATTCCTTCTAACCTGGCCATCTTGGGTGGGCTGGAGGCGGCCATAGCGCAGGGGGCAGTGTGTGCAGGGGCCCTTTGTGACATGCTGCAGCATGGTCAGCATGGCATGGAACAGCGTGTCAAAGGACCCTTTGTGACACGTGGTGACATAGGAGCTGGCGGTGACAAGGCCATGCCACAGTGCTCCAAGCACTTGACAGGACAGGACGGGACAGAGCAGTGCTGTGAGGAGCCCCCACACAGCGCACTCGTTCGTGTCTGACCTGGAGCTTTTCCAGGTGTTATTACTGCAGCTGACCTCGAGAACTTGCTGACCCGTGGCCTTCCTGAGGCTTCTCTTCTGCAAGGAGCCACAAATCCAGCCACTGACATGGAGCAGAGACCCCCAAGAGTGCCCAAGCTGGCCTGGGTGGAGGAAGAGGAAGAAGGCCCTGGAGCTGCCCCTGCACACGAGACTGAAGAAGTGGTGCCATTCAAGCAGCTGCAGGAGGGTGAGTGGCAGAGCTGGGCTGCTGGGCTGCAGGGTTAGTAGCTGCAGCCAGCTTGGCCCTGCCCCATCCCATCCCATCCCATCCCATCCCATCCCATCCCATCCCATCCCATCCCATCCCATCCCATCCCATCCCCTGGGGACATGCCCATGGACAGGATGGAATAGGGGCCGGGCAGACACCCCACAGCCGTGCTCCATGCCCTGGGGCGTCGCAGGGCTGTCCCTGCCTGGGCAGTGCAGGGCTGGGCTGTGTTCTCCGGCCTCTCCCGCAGCCCCTCAGCTCGGGCTGCGCTCGCTCTTTGCCAGGTGCAGCCGTGGAGCGCACACAAGAGCAGAAACGCACCCGTGGCCGCTTCCGCAGAACAGCGCAGGTACCTGCAGCCATCCCCACCTGGGCTGGGCCTGCTGGCACTGCTCAGCCAAGCACCATGCTTGGAGAATTCCATGGAATATCCCTGGCTTCCTGCCCTTCTCCTACAGCTGGTTTGCAAATTCATGAAGAGGATCCGGGAGGAAGAGACCACCATGGGCACAGGGCCCAGAGCATATTCGCACATCTTCAAAACCCAGACCTGTGCTGCCCTGGCTGATATGCTGGTAGAGGAGGGGTTTTCCAATCCAAAGCAAGTAAGCAGCCTGTGGCCAGGCTTTGAGCCTCCCAGGAATTACTTGGCCTCCCAAGCCACGTCTGCTGCTCCCTGGAAGCCTTTGAGGCCATGGCAGTGTGGTGGCAAGGGAAGCACTTCTCTGGGGCAGCTGGGCACATTCCTCCCTCTGGCAGCTTTCCAAGTTTCCTCGTGCCTTCTCCAGGTGCCCGCCATGGTGAGGTACATCCACCAGTGGCTCGAGGCCAACCAGTTTGCTGAGCACAGGCTGAACAGGACCCTGCTGGATCTCACCGAAGAACGGCCCGCTGACGTAGTCATGACGCTCCTGCGTGTGGCCCCATTGTGTGACAGGTATGGGGCCCACCTGCCCAGAGGGCTCAGGGCTCCCCAGCCCATCAGCCTGTACAGCCTGTGCCAGGTGTCTGACCAACAGAGAGTCCCAGGGCCCTCTGGCTGCTCCCTTTGCCAGCCCTGGCACATCAGCCCCCGAGCCTGCTGCTCCCTCGCTGCCCCTCAGGGGCCCGTCCCTACAGGGCTGGGCTGCCTGAGTGCTACTGGTGAGGGGCAGTGGGCAGAGGCAGGGCTGGCAGCCAGCTCAGGTCCCCACTGCTGCCCAGGCCACGGTGCTGTGTCTCAGACCCCCCTGAGACAGAGCTCTGACCCCACAGAGCTGCTTTGACCATGTGGAAGAGCATCATGTGTTCGCCCAGGACTGCAGAGCCGGCCATGCTCGTACTCCTCGATGTGCTGGGCAGCTGGCCAGAGCACAGCACGTGCACCTCCGATGGGGACAAAACGGGTGTCTTTGTCCTGGCTGTGAGTTTCTGCAACTGGCCTTTGCTGGCCCAAGGCCACCTCTCCAGCAGCTCTCCATCCTCCCTCCCTCACGGCGTCTCCCTGCCTCAGGCGCTGGGCTGAAACCTGGCCTCGGGGCAGCTTCAGGGCCACCAGGCCCGGTGCTCCCCTGTGGCTCTCCGGGCCTCTCCCTCCCGTTCTCGGGCCCTGCCACACGAACACCTCGGCACTGAGCGCTGTCTCGGGCTGCTCTGTCCTTTGCAGGCAACTGTGCTGATGTGGAAGATCCTCCAGCTGCCCTGTGTCCCACAGATGGTGACTGTGTATCTCCCCCACCTGTTTGTGCATCTGCTCTTCCAAGTGCTCTTCAGCACTCTGGATGTGCCAGAGGAGGTCAATACCTTCTGGAAGGGATGCCAGCAGCAATATGGCCTTGACACCAGCCCCAACAGGTGCTCCATGCCAGTCCTCCTGTCCTTGCCACATCCCTGGGCAGGAGCCAGTGCTCCCAGCGTGACCCGGGCTTTGCTCTGCACACAGGTTTGCAGTGCAGACCCTGAAGTCCCTGCTCTGCCAAATGCAGCACGAGGATGTGGTGGTGGCAATGGAACGCAAGTGTGGCTGGGACAAGCTGCTGTGTGCTGACACCTACCACCATGCCGTGGGTCTGCTGGCCAAGTGAGACCCCCCTTCTCCCCGCTGCCTCTGACATTTGTGCTCTGTGCCTGGGGTGCCCCATACAGTGCCTGTGGTCACGGGCCAGAGGGCCTTGTCACCCAGGGACAGCCAAGCAGACTGGAAAAGGCTGGGAGAGGAGGGGGCCCACAAGGAGCCACCTCCCAAATAACCCAGAGGCCCCTGCAGGATGCTGGGGAAAGACCAGACCTCTGTGAGTCAGTCCTGGGAGAGGTTTGTCCCCCTGGCCCACAGTCTTGGTTACTTTGTCTCCTGCCAGGGAGATGTCCTGTGTCTCCATCCCCTTGTGCTCCCGGATCGCTCGCTACCTGCTCCGGCTGCTCAGCACACAGGAGCCACGCTGGGAGCTGCCCTCCCTGGCGTTCTTTGTGGAGGTGAGCCTGAAGGCCAGCACTGCCTCGCTCAGCTGCCTCCCGGCTCTCTGCCCTCTCGTAGCCACAGCTGCCTGGGACGGAGCCTGCGCCCTGTGCTGCTGCCTGGGCTCAGCCCTGTGCGGTTCTGGGCTCCTGCTGGCTGGTCCCCTGTCACTGCCCTGTGCCTTTCAGGTCCTCAAGTGCCTGGACATGAGTGAACCCGGTGCTGACAGAGTCCTGCAAATCTTGTCAAGACACCTGCGGAGCGGGTGCAGAGAGAAGTGTCACCTGGTGCTCAGGGCCCTTCTTGATCTCATCAACAATCCCTTGATGGTGAGAAGGGGGCAAGGGCTGAGGCTGCGCTCGGGAATGCAGTCACTTGGGCTTGGCTGGGCTTTGGGCACTGGGCCAGCTGCTCCCAGCTCTCCTGCCTCCTGCTTCAGCTGCCCAAGTGCTTCAGAACAGCCCTTTGGCCTCTAGGCCCTGCGGCAGCAGGATGGCGTTTCACAAACTTGTGTTCCGCACAGAGCAAAAAAATGTGGAGCCTGACTGAAAGTCTTGTGGAGCTCCTCTGGGACGCAGATGGAGAGATAGTTAGCATGACAGCCATGCTCCTCAACTTTATCATCTTGGAAAAGGACATGCTGATACCCAGCTCTATCGCACTGCAGCTGGTTGAGGCTCTCCTGCCACTCCTTGACCACGTAAGGCTCACTGCCCCCAGCCATGGCCACTGGCTGCTGCCTGGACACTTTGTGCCCTGCGGATTTGCAGGCCTGCACCAAGCTGAGCTATGTGCAGCCGATGCTGAGGTCTTTTTTTCTTCCCTTCATACAGGACAATAGCCAGGTGCAGCTGCTCTCCATAGTGCTCCTTGGAACATTGGTGACTCTTCCACAAGGAAAGGAAAAAGAGGCCCTGAAGGCACATGTGCACCAGAGCCTGCTGCCACTCTTCTTCCACTGCCATGATGAGAATCAGCGAGTGGCACAGGTGAGGACTCGTGGGCTGCTGCTGTTCCCCTGGGAGGGGGCTGGGCTGCCTCCTGCCCTGGCGCCTCGTGGGCTGCAGCCTCCTCCAGGCCCTGGCACAGGGACACAGGTCCTGCGCCCTGGGCTGTGGGGCCATCTCCACGTCTCTGCTGCTCTCCAGGCTTCTCAGGAAACGCTTCTGTGTGCGGCCGAGTTCCTGAAGAGGACGGAACTTGAAAAGCTGGTGAAGAGCAAGAAGCTGTGGAAGTTCACAGAGTGGCTGGTAAGGAGGGCCGGGAAGCCGCAGCCCCAGGCTGGAGAAGCCCCCTGAGCGCGGTGCTCGGTGTGCAGGCTGGCAGCTGTGCCCCTGCCCGCTGCTGCAGCCCGAGGCCGTGCCGGCTCCTGCGGCCCGAGCCGGGTGCCGATGGAGCCCCGGCCCGGCGGGGCTGCGGGGCGGCACCGCGGCTCCCCGGGCAGCAGCCGGCCCTCTGCCCCCTCCAGAGCCCGGCGCCGGCGGCTGCTGGCCGCGCCTCAGGGCTGTGCGGGCAGGGGAGGCCGGGGCTGGCGCGGAGAGCGCCCGGCCCAGGGGCTGAGCCCGCGCCAACCCTTCCCTGCTGCCGCTCTCTGCAGCTGGCAGAGGACAGGAGCAGAGTGGCCGAGCACCTGCGCCGGGCCCTGCCCTACCTGCAGAACCTACAGCAGCCCCTGCGAGAGGCGGCCGTCAGGTTCATGGGTGAGCCAGGAGCCCGAGCTCCCTCCCCGCCCCGCCGCAGCTCGGCCCCAGCCCCGGGCCGGTGCCGCGGAGCCCCGCCTGCCCTGGGCGCTGCTGCCGCCCTCTCCAGCCGTGCCCTGGGGCGGCAGCGAGCGGCGAGGGCCCGGCCCGAGCCCTGCCGGGCC